AGCTGGATCTACAGGCAATTCTCATTATTTGCAAATTTAGTATATGTGAATTCACTTATTTGCAAAAATGTATTTGGAACTGCAAAATCAACATTGCCAACTTTCACATTTATTCATGGACATGCAGAGCAGCAAAACATTTGAACTGCTTGACATCTACATTCCTAATTAAGGTTTCAGCAATTGCTACTTTAGAATTCATAGCAATTTTGCAAAATCTAACTATCACGGATAACGAGAATTGCCTATATTTGAAATATTATTTAAAATTCTTAATTGGAATTTTACAATATGCAGAAAGATTTTCAAAATATTTTGTTCTCTATGGCTTTTAAATGAAAAGGTTTCATAGTATTTGCTCCTATTAAATGACTAAAATTTATTTTAACTATCGCATTTTAAAACTATTGATAAATTGATAATACATTTTAGTTTTATATTAGAAATAACTTTGAGAAGACTTCATTCTTAAAGGTTCTTAAGCAATAGAATAAACAAAAACTAATGGATAAATAAGAATTTAGATTTGTTAGGGGAAAAAAAGAGTGAGGATTATTGAATTATGAGTAAAGCCTGAATTAGAATTCTCCGTCATCGCACGACAGTGAAGTACGTCCCTGTCATTCAGAGACAGTTGCATAGGTGTTGCATTTATACATCTACGAATGTTAACATTCTGACTAGGGAGTGCTCAAAGAGCAAAGCACAGAACAGGAAGTCAGATCAACTAACTTTAAGCACAGCGCAGTTGGGATTTGGGAGGTATATGTGTCGGCCCCATCTGCAGCCATCTGCAACCTACACTTATCTACCCTCAACCCTTCCGCCACATAGGTATACCACAGTGATTATGTGCAGTTGTGGGCAACTCTAAATCAAGCTCTAGGCTGCAGTCCTAAACATATTTATTGGGATATTTGGCCCACCAAACCTCGTAGGCTTCAGAAGAGATACGGGTAAAAATATTTTCCATCTTTTCATATTGATTTCAATACGAGGTCCAAGAGTCTTTTTTACTCTTTATTGTGGCACTGTTTCTCTCTTTTGCAGTTTCATCTTTTTTGGAACCTCTACAATTTAAAAGCAGTTTAGCTTTATTGCATTATTTCAAGAAATCTTGCTAGTTTCTTTACTTTCTTTGCTGTCCTAGGCTGGATTTTGTTTTAATTTGTTAAAATGTTAACTGCTTTGAGCTCTACTTTGGTAAGTGGATCTAAATTGGGCCCGACCTAATGCTTTAAGATAATCTATTGGATATACACATTAGGAATACAGTACATAGTTCTCATTTTCTAAATACAAACTGAATTAAGAAATATATAAAAGACATTGCAAACAATTGAGGTATTGGTATGGGTTTATCTATGTATTTATTACTGAATCCATCTCCATCCATATCTTTATCTATCTATCTATCTATCTATCTATCTATCTATCTATCTATCATCTATCATCTATCTATCTATCTCATCTCATCTCTATTAATATAACCTATATCTTGTTTTTTCAACAAATGTTGCTCTTGAGGCAGCTAACAAATTTTATTTTCTCCATCAGATATTTTGGGTTCATTACCAAGCACCCAGCTGACCACAGATTTGCGTGCCATGTCTTTGTCTCAGAGGAATCCACCAAGCCACTTGCAGAGTCTGTAGGGTGAGTTGTTGGCTGCTATGTCCTGGATTCTCATTTTTCTAGGGATTTTATTTGATCTAAGGGAAAGGAGCATTAGCCTCAGATAATGGATGTAGTATGCAGCTCTGGTTGCAGCAGTGATCATAGCATACTTGCTGGGGTCAGGGATTAGCCATTTTTCAGTGCCCAGGAAAGGGTAAACATAGTTTATTGAGAATTCTAATTCTGTCTTCAGTTTGCTTAGAATCCCATTAGTATGGCATGAGGACTTGTTTCAGGGAGATGCAAAGTTTGACTGGAAACCATCTTCACTGAAGTTAGTGAGTTCACAGAAATGTAATCTGTTTCCTGGAAAATCTTAAAAGAGTATTGAGTCAAGATGTTCTTTAAAAAAGCAATCTAGTGTTTGAATTCTTCACCATTTAAGATGCTTTAATGGCTCATGGAGCTACTCCTGTTTTTCAATATGCAGCATTTTCTAAAAGATGCTCAGGCCCAGCACAGTGTGGAAAGAGAATAATTCATTAAGGCTGATGCATTTTTCTGAGGCCAATTTATACATATCTGTATCTAAATGTTCTATTTGCATGAATGTTAATATATGTGCATGAGGTCAGAGCTACTAGATCTTTGAAAAGCCCATTTCTGAAATGCTGTTTGTTAAAAAACAAGAGTTACTACAGATTTATGGTACTTGGTTCCCAGTTATTTGGCACAAGTTCTTGCATAACTTACTGTCCTTTCCTGTATAGTTGGCACATAATATGTGCAGTAAGCAAGTTATTCTGCCAGATCTTTACAATTCTGGGATGTGCTGTGTTTGTATCATTCTTTGGCCGGTTACAAAAGACTATTTTAGGGAAATCTGATTCTTTTTCCTAAAGTGCTTGAAATTACAGGACTAAATAATAAAAAACTTTAAAAAGAATGGGTGTGTGAAGCATCTTGGTTCTTGAATCGTGTTGTGCCTATACACTATGACACACATCTAAGCTTCTCTTCAACACACCTTTTTCTCTCTCATTCTTTTGCAGGAAGGCTTTCCATCAGTTCTACAAGGAATGCGTGGAATATACGTGCCCCACAGAGGATATCTATCTAGAGTAGGGGCAGGCCCAGCCCCCTCTTCCTGTATAGACAAGGGCCATTTCCCCATTGTGCATGGACAAAGCTGCTTCAAGTCTGAAGGAGGAAGAGGCATGGGAGCGGTTTCCCTCCATATGCAGAGCCCCTCCTCTTTCAGTACACCTCCTTTCCTTGGGCAGGGGGTTTGGGGAGTTGAGAATGGGTGGGATGGGTGGCAAAACATGGGGATTACTATTTTTAAAGAAATGCATTCTCTTTTTTCTTTATTCAAAGAAAAATGCCACCAGTGAAAGCAGTTGCTGCCCCCACACATCTGGATGAGCAAGGAAAGCACTGGCCCAAGAACAGGCAGGGTTGAATATCCCACATATATCCCACACATAGGAGGGGGCTGGTTTGGTGCCTGGGCAAAGAAACTCCTCCACACTTTTGTGGGTTCCTGCTATGTGGTGGAGACTGCTCTAGTTTGCCACATGTTCCACATTTAACATTTGCTGTTTAATAGGACAGAAGTGCTGGACTTCCACCAAGAAAATTGGATCGTTAGATAAAAGATACGGAAATAATAAACCAAAATCTTGGATGGGAACGGGTATGGAAGCTAAGCAAAAGATATCTGACAAGTCCCAGTAAACAGAAATCCACTTTGTATTTGACCTCCCATATCTATAAAAGTAATCCAGGACTATTGTATCGGACACACTTTGGCACTTGGACTTTGAAAGGGAGGATAGCTTGAGAAGTCTGGAATTATAGCCCCAATGTTATTTTGTGGGTGCCAGGATATGGGAGGCTGAAGGTGAAAATGAGAAAGAACCACTGTATTTCTATCTGATATAGAAAAGACTCTCTGTTGCAACTCTTGGTTGTGCTATCCCTTTTCCTTCATCTATCTGCAGATCCTAAACTCAAAGGGATGGGAGTAATCTGGATACTGTGGAGAGCCGTGCATCTGATTCATCCATATTAGGGGGCTGGGAGATGCTCCAGCCATTAAGCACAATGCTGAATCAGGAAACAGTAGTGAGGTCTTGTGGGAGAGGCAAAAGCTAGGGGACTAGCATGGGTAACAAGGAGCCAAGAACTGCAGAAAGGTGTGCCTTTGCCTTCCTCCCCTGCCTACGAGCCCGAGCTTTCCAGGCAGAGGGCTCTGTGCTTCTGCTGGATCTGCTCTGATGACAACAATGATTAAACATTGATGTTTCAAAGGAACCGTGTTGCTTTTGTGTTACGAGGTCTTTTAACAACTGTTTGAAGCCCTTAGGATCGAATTGCAGGAGCCAACGTAGATGTTCCAAAAGATAGTATTGTAATGTACCCGCCCACCCGAGTTTACATAAAATTAAGAGAAGTCTTACATGCCTGCGATTTTCAGAATTGTACATTGTAAACAGTGCAGAATCGTATTATATTAGAGTCCTGTTTGGCTTGTATGGAATGGCCATTCAGGGGCATAATGAAGCAACTTTCTTTTTGCGTTTCTTTTTTTCCTGCATTTATTTTTCAAGATTCATATCTTGCATCTCCACTAGGAGAAGTGGAGTAGTACATAGTACTACTCCACTTACATAGTAGCCCCGCGTGAGCCAAGCTGTCTCTGTATTTTTTATTGTTATGTACAGTATAATGTGGAGGGCCCTGTTTTTTGTGTGTTGGAGGTTGCCATTATGTTCTGCCATTTCATACTCCCTAGAAATCTGCTTTAATAGTTGCATCCTCACATTCTCTTAAAGAGCAGCTGGTTTGGTCTAGTGTTTAAGGCACCAGAAACCAGGAGACTGAAAGTTCTAGACCCGCTTAGGCATGAAAACCAGACCAATCACTCTCAACTCAACCCATCTCACAAGGTTGTGAGGAAAATAGGAGAAAATATTAGGTATCATTGCCCCCTTGAGTTATTTACAAAAATAATAAAAGATGGGATAAAAATAAAGGATTTTGAGATATTGGAACTTAGGAACCTGAATCAACTTTACAACAATGCCTGTTTCTAATGCCAGGCGTTATTTCAGCCAAATATGTAATTACCTACTAAATAGGCATGCTCTAAAATGCCTTTATAGGGGTTTGAATCTACGCTTTTACTAAATATTACATAAATGAATGGCACTACAAAGACAGGCTTTTGAGAGCTAGATTATTATTGTTGAAATTGTAAACTATAAAATCTGTTCATAATATTAGTTTATATAAATTGGAATTCTAATGTGAGGTGGAAACCAAATTCAGAATCACTGGAGAAGTTTTGATGGAGAGGTAAAAATAGTCATGGCAGTGAAAACTGTATTAGACATTTATTTTTCACTACACAGCCACAACGCTGGCATTGAAATCTTCTCTCCAGCCAATAACCAAAAGAAAATACAGAGCTGCATGGAGAGTTTCTAGATAGTGTTAAGTAACAGGATGGGGATTATTGCTATATGCATTTGGCTATTTTATCAGGCAAGGCTATGCAAAACAGCATCTTCTCTTGTCGCTTTCAAAGGAGGTCATCGTAATAATACTCTTCAAAATTGGGTTCATCCCTTTTGCTTTTATGTGTTCTGTGCAGTGTTTCTGACTCCTTACGTTGTTTCCGTATCTGGAACTTGGGATGGCGTGGTTTAAGGCCATAATCTGTGAAAACACAACCTTGTGAAATACTACAGGTAGTAGGAATGGGAAAGATTATTATGGTGGTTATATATCCCCAGAGGGCCTACAATCAGGCACTAGTCACACAAGTGTAGACCCCATTTCAATCCTCTTTTGGCTGCAAGGGAGAGACTAACTTCCATGGCTACTACTTTTTGTAATTGATTGGTTGGCCTGGAACCAACTGACTGGAGAGTGCAAAGCTTTGCAAGTAACAAGTCCATTAATGCACACATTGGAAAATGTAATTGGAAGGATCTTGATCTTGCATGTCTGTAGCCTTCCTGACAGGAAATTCTTTTCCCAGGCAAATCCTGTCTCCCTGCTTCCTTACTTCATGTTATGTTCATAGGGTATTGAACTCTCAAACTGCTCTTAGACGTGTCTGTATCTTGGCTGCACGTATCTGGGTAACTACTAGATGGTACCCAAAATCCATCTTTGTTGCCACTTGAGATTGATAGGTTAAATAGTTGGCTGGTTGAATCCCAGGTTCAAAGACAAAAGGTGGGGGGAGACAAAAATTGTAGTGCAGTGCGTAATCAGTGTTCTACATGCCAATTGGAGGTCACATTTTCATATGTATTTAAGCCAGTGTTTTATCTCAGAAACTAAGAGGTATGGACTTCAATTCCCAGAATTCCAACAGCCAACATGGAAATGGAAGCCCACACGTCTTAAAGCCTGGCTAGGTGGCTCAGTGACTAAGAAGCTGAGCTTGTCAATCAGAAAGGTTGGCAGTTCAGCGGTTTGAATTCCTAGTATAGGTCTCCTGTGTGAGCAGGGGGTTGGACTAGATGACCTCCAAGGTCCCTTCCAACTCTTGTACTGTTATGTTACAAGTTGCTAACATTGGGAAATGCTGGTTAAAGCTGCATGGACAGTAGCATAACACAGACCTGTCCCTAATGTGGAGCATGGGCGTGTTGTGGGATCATCAATAGCATGATCTCCTGAGGTTCCAGGATAGGAGAGGGAGGGGCACAGCAAAACAAGTTGCGTGAATGTGGCCCCCTGCCTAATGTGGAAGAAATGTAGCAATGTGCCTTTACCCAGTCATGCCTTATGCCAAGAAATAGGAACTAGACTTAATTATGTGCATACCATCCACTAAGCCAAACTGTTTCTGCTGGAGCTCCAAGGGCGCGATGAAGTCTTCTGGAACAGAGCTTCTGAATCTGCCATAGGAGAGCACAAGATCAGGAAGGCCTATGATTACTGCTTAAAGCACTGATGTTTTGTTTTAAAAAAAACAAATCGATACAGGCCAATTTCCTCATTTCTTTTGACAAATCTCATGGGCAGATAACCAAGCGATTAAATCCTAAATTGCTCTTTTAACAGTAGCTATCATAAATCCTCCATAACCACGTGACATTTCTTGAATCCATAAACAAAAATGCTGTAAAATCCAATTAATGGATCATCAATAAACTTAATTTACATATTTCAACCTTAATTCTCTTTATATTGGTATTGGATATACTCTGAAGGAGCAAATCCTCCAAGGAATTCCTCCCGTCAGAGGTGTGCATGGTTGCAAGCTTCCATGCACATCACTTCTTAAATCAGGACTTGCAGATCTTGATGTCCTCTGCTGTGAGATCATACTGGCGCTCTTTCAATTTAAGTGTTTATTTGTTACAGGTTCCCATTGGAACACACTTTTATTGTGCCTGAATGTGACTGAAACAAGCCTGCATGTTTAATGGGTGGAATTAATTTGTTTTAATAATCCTTAATTTTTATGGATAATCCTCGCAAATGAAATTATTTCTATTTTTTAAAATATGAATTTAGTCTCTAAGAATATTTATGCAGGTCATTGTATCTTTTTCTTTTCTATTGCAATCTCTCTTTTAACAGTCCAAAAAGAAAAAATATATAGTCCATGGTCTAAATTGTTCTAGGAAAATATGTTTCCTTCAGATTTCATACTCGTGATTGTATCAGTCCAAATATTACTTGTTAGTAAAAAAAATAATTACGAAGCGCCATTTTCTACGCACTACAGAGTGATGAAGAGAGAGTTCTTGTGTGCAAGCTCACAATGTCACAGATATAATGAAACATAAAAATAAAGTGGGGAAGAAAAAACAAACACGAGTAATGAACAAATGATGAAATGTCTTACCCTAAAATATGCTGGTAGTAACTGTATAAAATTTATTTATTAAAGACAAAACTGCATGTTGGGTAACGAGCATTTTATATTATCTGTGGTTGTCACTATCTCTCACCTCTCTCGAGATACGCAATTACACAGTGACATCATATAATTGAAGTTTTCTGAAGTAAAGTCTTATCTCGGGGTGTCCAGTGGGGAAAAAAATACCAAAAATCTCCACAAAAAATCCTCCACTAAAACTTAACAGGCATCTCATGCCTTACTCACACCAGTCAAATATCAGGTACTTTTAAATCTTTTCTGATAAAACAGTGGTTAATTTCAATTAAATAATTAATCAATATTTGAATTTGTCCCTCAGTTTTTTCCTGAAACTGAGCTTAAACATAACATATGCTGAACTTGCAAAGTTCGTTTGTCAATGCTAAAGAGTAAAATATTCCTAAATCTCTGTATAGATGGGGAAGATAGCACTACATGATTTTTCAAGCCAGGTGGCCCGTCAATGCTCCTTTCCCATCGTAACTATGAATGTATCCGGTACATAGGATCAGTACTGAGGCGTGAAGCTATAAACTGTTACCTTTGAAGACCTGGCACAGGCAGTAATTTCTGCATCAGGAGTAACATGATCAAAAATCCCATCTGGCCTACAAAGCCAAGTCCAGCTTGATATATCTTTCCCTCCTTGGCAGAACCGAAGGCAGCATTCAAAGGCTACAGCATTATCACAAAGGTATAGAATGCAGGGCAATGCTGAGTTCCATGTACTGGGCAGTGAATAAAGGTCACTTTAAGAACAACAAGCAGGCATACGTTCCCCCCCCCAAAAAAAACCCCAATACTGCTTCAGCTCTGTGATTGAAGTCAATTTTAGAGAAAGATACTTCGTTCCATCTGCCATAATGTCAGCCTCAGCTTTGCCTGCTTCAGCTGCCATAAGAAACGGGGGAGGGATTAGTTATGGGGGCGAAGGGAGGGAAGATGCAGGAGGTATCTTCCAAAGAATCGAAAGTGAATCTTCAAAGGGAATGGCTGACCAACTGCCCTACATTCCTGATGAATGACGCTGCCAGACGTGATGCCACCTGACCTTTGGGAGACCTTTGGATTGGCTGATGACCATTGGACACGGGGGTTGGGGAGAAGCTTAGTAGATGCTATTTCGCGCGTTTTGCTCACTTCCAGCTTTACCTGGGTTGCGATCATTTCATATTCAGTAAAAGTACTAATCTCTTCAAAATGTTTGAGTTTGGGTTTTCTTTTCCTGGATATTGAAGGAAGCATACCTGACACATAGTTGCCCATCCTTATTGTTTGATCTTCCCAACTTCTGCTTTATCTTCCCAACTTCTGACCCTCCTCCCATCTTTTATCCATAAGCACCCTTTGAGATGTTTCCAGAGATTACCACACAAAGCAGGCTTAACTTGGTAGTACAGTGGTCTAAGGCACCCTGTTATTAAACTGGTTATTAAGACCAGATGCCTGCAATTACTACAGGTTCGAATCTCGCCAAGGCTCAAGGTTGACTCAGCCTTCCATCCTTTCTAAGGTAGATAAATTGAGGACCCAGTTGTGGGGGCAATAAGCTGACTTTGTATAAACATACAAAAGAATGAAGGCTATTGCTTAGCGCATTGTAAACCGCCCTGAGTCTCCAAAGAAGGGCGGCATATAAATCAAATTAAAAAAAAAAAAAAACTTTTAAAGAAATACTCTTGTGAATTTAACAGCATCAGAGACCTGTGAAGCAGCAAGAAATTCTGTAAACAAAGGTTTACCATAATGTGAAGGTGATACCTACGGAATCCTTCTCCCCAGAAGCTAATGGCACAACTGCCATAAACAATTCCGATCCATATATGAATATTCGTAACTCGTAATAGTTTTCAGAGCTTATCTACAAATTCAGCATTTCTCTTCCGTTTCTGCCCCACAGTCAGCTATATTTTAATTACCCCTGTACAGGAAATCTGTTTAAAATACCATGTCCTGGCATTGCTTTGAAATTTTTCTGCTTCCCATCGGTTTACTTCCTGCAGATTCATGACTGAACATTCAAGAGACCAGACCAATTAGCCCCAAGGCACCGCAGTCCCCTGGCTTTATTCATCCACAACTGTACAAAATGCTTACAAAAAAAGAATTCTGCATCCCCTCACAACCCAAGGCCCATGCTTTGAAACCAGTTATTACCAAATAGGAAGGAAACAGCATACACATTTTAAGCCGTCTTTGTAGTACTTACAGGAAGGCATTTTTTTAAAAAAAAAGTCAGAAAAAGCCTTATTCTTCTTTCTCAAACCATTAATACAAGTCATAGGGAGATGTGCTGCTGCCCTTGCCCCCCCCCCCCCCCCCCCAAGTCTCATGATTGTTTTCCTCAGTATAAAGTCATTCTGTCAGCACAAGCTTTCAACTCGAATCTTCTCTGGTTGCAGTAGTTCAAGCTGAAGCCAGATCAGCCCCAATTATAGAAATAAATTTTCTGCCAGGCTGGCAAGTAATCCATCAAAGGTCCTGAAATTGAAGGGGGGAAAAAAGAGGGGGAGAGATTTTTAAAGCAGCAAGTTGCTAACTGGATTTCCAAAATTTGCTGTTCGTGATACCCTCCCAAGAGCCTTTAAATTATCCTGTAGAGGAAAAAGTCACCTGAGGATATGTTTAGGCAAGACCTTTAACAACAGAAAAAAGAGGGCAAACTGAAATGAGTTAACCAAGTACTAAATACATAAAGACGCTTCTTAATGCCCTAAACTAAAGTAACCTACACAGCAGGCTAGCAGGTGATGTGATAGGAATGTCAAGGAAGTCATACATCCTTACCACAGTTTCTAGGTTCCTGTTACCCAGCCTAATTTTTTGAGAAAAATAGTAACTTTATGGGAGGGAACCCTGAATATTAGGCACTGATCTTATTCATGTAACAATCTGCGTTTCTAGGTGTTGCCTAGAAATTTCGAGATGCTGAATCCAAAAGGGGCCTTGATCAAGGAGCCTTGATAGTACAGTGGTCTAAGCACCCTGTTATTAACACAGCTGCCTGCAATTGCTGCTGGTTCGAATCTCTGCAAGGCTCAAGGTTGACTCAGCCTTCCATCCTTTCTAAGGTAGGTGAAATGAGGACCCAGTTTGTGGGGGCAATAAGCTGACTTTGTATAAATATACAAAAGTATGAAGGCTATTGCTTAACGCATTGTAAGCCACCCTGAGTCTCCGGAGAAGGGCGGCATATAAATCAAATAAAAAAATAAAAAATAAAAACATTTGGCCCTCCTGACTGCAGATATGTTAACATGATAATGGCAGAGGTTTTGCAGATAGCAGGCCTTCTCCACTAAGCAAGCCATTGCTCCACTAAGCAAGCCTGATAAAGTCAACATAACTGAGGAACTGAGGAACCAATTAGAGATTCTAGGGAGACATTTCAAATTCCTAAGTGACAACATCAAATAAACTCAACATTCCCAACTTTGCCTTCATCTTTAGGCATTTCAACTCTCCCTCATGTAGATTCTTCAGACAAGCATACAGAGGAGATGGGACTCCCTCCTCATGATTTCCTTCATGATGAAAGCTATCTTTGGGGGAAAAAAACAAAACTGGCAGGCTTCTACTTACGAGTCACTAGGCCGACTCCAGGGACATAATCTGCCAACAAGCGCAGAAGAAAGAGAATCCTGCCCCTACAAAGGCATATGGGAAAAAAGAGAAGGAAAAGAGGGTTTAGTGGCTTCTTTCCCAACAACAAATGCTCTCTTGAATTACAGCAAGGTCAGAGATTTTAGAGGCCTCTACATTTCTGCCTTAGTCAGAGGTTCTCAAACCATGGCTTTCTAAAATAATAAATGCTTGTGCAAGACTCCCATGAAGTATAATGTGCTAATAATAACAACAGGATTATTATTAGCTGCTAGTAGCTCAAGCCATAGTGACTCCAGGAATAGATCTTAGGATGGCCTTCTATTCCCTAAAGACAAGTCTGGGGACTCTGCCATTAACAAAGGGACTTTCTGAAGCAGAGAGGAATATGGTTTTTGCCTTGAGACAAAAACAGATGTGTTGGCTTTGAGAGACTCTAAACTGCCTAAAAAGCCACTTTTATGGTCAGCAGCAGTGAAGAATTTTGGGAGGCTGTTGAGGAAAAAACTGAAGTGCAAAGGAATAGGGAGGATGAGCATCTCTTGGTGCATCTGATTCTCTGATGAGATGCAGATGGATGCTCCTTGTACCTTGAGTCCTCATGCTGGTAATGGCAGAGGAAGCAGCTGGGTGAGTGCATTGGCTTTACCAAAAACTGCCCAAAATCGGGAGCTTGGGGCCAAATCAGGGGTGAAATGCTCCCGGTTTGGACCGGATCGCCTGATCCGGTAGCGATGGCGGTGGGTGGTTCGGAGAACCAGTAGCAAAAATCCCTGCAAACCCCCCCCCCTCCCCAATGCCTAGCTGAGCCACGCGAACATCAGAGGCTGGTTTTTTTTACTTTTAAAAGCATTTTTTCTACAACCTCTTCAGCCAGAGAGGTTGTAGAAAAAAATGCTTTTAAAAGTAAACAAACAAAAAAAAAAAGTTGGCCACGCCCATCCAGTCACATTACCACCACCACCCCCACTAAGCCACACCCATAGAACCACTAGTAACAAATTTTACATTTCACCACTGGGCCAAATCCTGAGAAGGTATCCATGGATGACCTCGTTCCTTTTCTCGTCTCCAGAGTGAGAATTCTATAGATATAGTGCTCCTTTCTTAACTAGCTTCTAATGCTTCTGGCCATCCAAAAATGTATGATCTCAGTTTGGCTTAGGCAGAAATTGTAGTTCTCTGTATTTACTTACACAGGTAGTCTACAGCAGGGGTCTCCAACCTTGGCAACTTTAAGTCTTGTGGACTTGAACTTTGCTTTGCTGGCTGAGGAATTCTGGAAGTTCAAGTCCACAAGTCTTAAAGTTGCCAAGGTTGGAGACCCCTGGTCTAGAGGACATTTGTTTCTGTGGAAGCTGGCAGACTTACTCAGAGTATCTGTCATAGAAGGGAGATCTTAATAGGTAATATAGGAGCAGGATAGTCCGCCGTTTCAGCTCCATTCGTTCACGTTTGTTGAGATCTTTCTTATCACTCAGTAAACTCAAGCTGTGGGGAAGGTGGGGGGGAAGAAGGAGATTAAAAGGTACTTTATAGGATTGTGAGCATTCTCATAATCATATTGCATTTAGTCTCAGTTTTTCAAAGAAAAGAGACCCTTTCATTCTCAGTTAACAGATTCAGAGCAACAAGGCCACGGCCTTGCTGTTTGATTCAAAACGTTCCTTTTAATTTTGTGTTTGCTATTTGTAGGTTTCAAAAATAGGTTTTAATAATAAAAGTTTTAGAACTACAAATTAAGACAGTTTCCATCTTCTCAAAAATATAAAAAGCAACTACTGCTACAAAAAAAGAAAAGCTGAATTTAGTTTTCACTCTGTCTGCATTTAGAAAAGCAGCTAAACAGCATGTCCTTCATCAAAGTTTTAATTATTAAGTTTAAAATTAAGTTTTAAAAATGTTTATCTCCGTATTTTGTTTAGCTACCTTGTGTACTTGCTTGAAAAGAAGAGCAGGATTTAAACTGAACAAACAAAGTTCTCCAGCCTCTCAAGGAAGTGCAGCGTCTCCTCTCTCAGCTGGGACCAAAGGTATCATTGAGTGGGAATTAAAATTTATGACATAAGAAGAGGTAAAAATAAAACTTAAACTAAGATGGCTTTTTTCCAAACTGACCTTCCAACATCCAAGA